TGAACAACAAATTTACAACAGAATTCTTAAGATGTTGAATGTTGCTTCCACTCCTTGCCCCTTGATTCAAGATGAATCAAGTCCTCCGATTATTGTTGATAAACCTCTGATTCCAGCCCCTTTATTGAATAACCCTCAGTTCTTCAAACCTTCGGCCCGATAGATCTCAACTACAACGAATCGAACCCGAGATCTTCCCTTCAATATCACTGAATCCGCTACTAGATTGATGAAGACTTCCTTTTCACAATCACCTTTGCTCAGCTGACCCTTGATGAAGAATCTCGTCCAAACCCCCCCCCCCCCCCCAAAATCAAACCAATCTTGGAGGACAAAACCCTAAAGGTTTTATTCAAGAAAGAACCTGTCGCAAGCTTCAACCCGAACCAGATTACCCAATCTCGGCTTCGAACCTTATCACCTTTAATCACTCACAAGGCACTTCAAAAATGGCTTTTTCCTGTTGAAGAACCATGTGTTTCACTTTGTTCACCCACTTCAGTAAGACTGTTGTATTTCGACACCCTTAATTTCGGTTGATTTTCACGAATCCATTGAAGTCTTTCGGACTCTAACATTGTATAACCATCAACTAAGAATTATTGAAAAAGCCTTCTTGAAGACAACAAAGTTTTAGCCTCAAATGATCTGTTCTGAATGCAAAATGCTAGCCACTCTCTAATTGTAAGTCTATTTCTCTTGTTGTCTTGGAATATGTCTAAGTCTCGATGAGCTATGTTTGGTCTATAACCATCTTCTCCATAAGGGAAAATTAAAGGATATTGATACGCCAAGTAACTTGCATGAAGCTCGTTAATTCTTTGTAACTCTCCACCTTTAGTTTGCATGATGATATCCCTTGTTTCTGCTATATCAAGATCACCAACTATCAAAGCAGCAACCTCAGAAACAGTAGGTTGATTATATACTCTTCCATCTGTGGATCTATTAGAAATGAGTCTTAATTTCAGGTTTTGGGTATCTAAATCCAATAACCAATTTTTGGTCATCTGAAAACTTTTGGCATGAGGGTTATGCTCGTAGAGCATATCTGACAACTTTTGTACAATTGCCGGATCAATGTTTTTTGTGTTCCTGTAAATGTAAATGTTTTATTATGTCAAATATAATATAGAGTAGTATGAAAGGAATAGATTGCAACATATGAAGTGTATAATTTATGGTAAGAAACTAATGTATGTGAAGTAGTTATACCTCAAACCCTGCATTTTGTTATGAACCTCATTTTCTGTATCAAAAATATATAGTTGTGCAAATTTAGGAGGTTGACCTTCTGGTGGAAGCAAACTTCCAATACGATGACATGATTGACCTTGAATTCGCAAAGTGGGTGGTCCACCTCCATTGTTAAAACGGTTATCCAACTTTGCACCTGGTGATGTGAAGGCAAACATCATGTTGCAAATGCAAATTTGTTGTTGAAACTTTCTGCTAACTATATCTTCATCAAAAAGGAGATGTGCTAGTAAAGGAGGGGGTTGTTTGAGTAATGATAGTTCGACCTTTCCGTTGCCACAACACAATGAAAATTTAGGATTGGATGAATGAGAACTTTTGTTCCTTCTCTCTTGATACCACATCATGACTTTACAATAATGACACTCAATTAATGAATCACCAATGTCATAATATTCTACAAAAAAATATAACGTGTTATATAAGAAAAATAATGCCAATATATAAGTATGCATTTAGAATAAGAACAACCTTCAGACAATGTTTGAGAATTCCCATTAATAGAAAAAGGTGCATGGTATTCCTCAAAATCAGAATTGGAGTCATCGTCAGATTAATGATCTAAAAGAAAGTGGAAAAAAGTCGTTAAAATTAGAAAGTTATGAAAAAGTTGAAGAGAATTGAAAGCAGTAGCCATGACGATTGAATTTGTATTAAGAAAAATTAAAATGACATGAATAAAGTACTGTGTAGTTGTTGTAGGAAATTCAAAATCAGAACTAAGAAATACAGGTTGAATATTAAATTTATATAACTTACTTGCGAAAGGATCTATGTCAGAGTCACATTCCGTATCGCCATTGAAATCTTCATTTGTACATGGTGTAAAAGTAGAAAACAGTTGTTGGGATTTTGGTTTAGAATTGTCGAGTTGCAAGGCAGTATGTTGGTCCATGTCAAGAAATCTGTTTGAGCCTTCTATATACCTTTGGCAATTTGGTTAAGAAAATATTACATATGCATTGAAGATGTTGTTGTAATTAACTGTTAAAATTTGAAAAGCTACTAACATTTCAATGTACCTATAATACGGTGAGGATCCAGGTTGCATGACAAATGTATCACGAACCGTATCATAATGGACTTCGGCAACACGTCTTGTTAGATTCATTGTTAGATGTGGAACTCCCAAAGATTTTCTTGGACGACCTCGGCGGGTTTTAACAGTCGTATCATTGCTGGAAGAGTATCCAATATGAAACGCAGACCATGAGATTTTGTTAAACATATATCAATAGAATGTAGGCCGCTAGGATATCGTCAATGTCATCCTTGTAATATCTCAATTTTCAAAACAGAAATCTAAGTAAGATAACATAAATTGCTGATCAACATTGCGTTGTGACTATGTATGCGTCATGTGTTTGAAACAGACCACACCGTAACTACCTACAACTTCTAAAATGAAGTTATAAGCTGCATACCTCAGTGTGATATTCAAGGCTGGTTCAATGAGATGTGAAGGTGTGGTTGGTTCTTGGAAATGATGAATTTCAAAGCCAAATTGGGTTGAGATTGATGTTGTTGCATGTTGAATTTGCGGGGTCTTCCACGAGGTTGTTTGGTTGATTGTGATGAGCTATGACAAACGAAAAAAAAGTAATAACATGAGTGTTATAAGTCATCTTCCTTGACATGGTCAATTAATAGCAGCATAAAAACCAAAATCGAGTTTCTAACCTCATGCCGATTTGTTTCGGTTTGTCTGAAACATTTAGGCCATCCAACATTATTCCACGACCAAATGAGCATGCACGTGGAGTAGTTCTGATCATAATTAAAGTATATTACAAAAATTAGGTAGTGTCAAGCATAAAACAAATGCTGATAGTGCATCCAATATCAAATGGAGACCATGAAAATTTCTGCAAACCAGAATTTTCAAACATTTTAGTTTACAACTCACAAAGACAACTAACATAACATAACAGTATGGTCGACTCCGCGTTATGAGCATGTGTAAGTAATGTTTTCAAAATATAGTATATTGTAATTATATTCAACTAGAAGAATATAGTTGTAAGTCGGAAACCTCTGTGTGATTTGCATGGATCGTTCAATGATATGTGAAGTTGTAGTTGGTTCATGTAAATGAAGATTTCGCAAGGCCAATTTGGGTTGAGATTAACGGTGTTGTGTGTTGCTTTTGCGTGCTTTTTCATGAGGTTGGCCAGTCGATTGTGATGAGCTACGACAAAAAAAAAAATGTTATAACATCAGTGATGTTATTCATTTTCCTTAGCCAGGTAAATATAAGGATGCACCATAAACAAAAGGTAACATTAACAGAACCAAGGTAGCATTATAAACTCCTCTCAAACTCTTCTCATAGACTTAGAAACTCCTTGCACAAGGTAGCATTAACAGAACCAAATATGATATCATCCACGTAAATTTGAACATGATTGAAAATTAATTTCCTATAGAAAATTGATTTTCTCTTTCAATGCACAATTCAAATATAATAACCTTAAACTTCTCAGAATTTTTTTTGCAATGATATGACAATTAATGCAAAAAACTTAGGGCTGGAAATGAGTCGAGTCGAGTCGAACTCACCTCAGATCGGCTCGACTCGTTAAGAATTGTTCGAATTCGAGTTCGAGTTCGAGTTTGACACGAACTTTTTTTTAAGCTCAAATTCGACTCGTTATAAGTTCACGAACAGTTCGGTTCGACTCGTTAGGTTCATCTCATTAGGTTCAGCTCACATGGTTCACGAACTTAAAAACTATTTTTTTAAATATATATATTTTTTAGTATATTTGACATTTTAAATAAATATATATTTTTTAAATAAAATATTAAAATAAAATAAAAGTTATCATATTAAAATTTAACTTTATCTTCGAAATCTACTAATTCAAAACCTACACAACTTTCAAGAGATACATTTGAGAGTCTAATTCAAAACTACTAAATTGAAGATTAAATTTGTCTAAGATTTGAAGTAAATATTTAAATCTAATCTTAAAGACAGTATAATTCTTTTCATATGTAATCGAGTTGACTCATGAACCTAACGAGTCGAACTATGTATAGTTCAAATTCAGCTCATTTAGTTAACGAACTTAATTTTTCGCTCATACTCAACTCATTTGGTTCATGAACCTAGTTCAACGATTTAATTGTCGAGTCGAATTCCGAACTATCTTCGAGTTGGTTTGGTTTATTGCCAGCCCTAAGAAAAAGTTTTAAGATTTTGGATAAAGAAAAACCTTTAAAACATATGTGAACTGTAGTTTAAAATTGAGTGAAAGAGGTAATTTAAAATATGAAATTTCTTCCTTTAAATATATTGCAATATGCCTTTGAATGAGTAGTAATATTTAAAACTTTTTTCTTCTTTGATCTTTCTTTTATAATAAACTTTTTTTCTTTATTAGAATCAAACTAAGATAAATGATGAATATCTTCTTTACACCATTCACATTCGATTGATAATAAAAAAAATATGAAATTTAATAAGTTTAAGTTGAAGATAAATAATAATTTAAAAATTTTGTGTATTTAAACTAGTTTAGAGTATAAATCTCCTATAGTTTTTTTTACACTTAGTAAATTAAACTCATTATAATTTTAATTGTTTTGATAATGTATTAAATGCTTAATCTTTCGAGATTTTTTCTACCTAAGAGGTTGACAAAAAATAAATAAATAAGAGAGGTAAAGGAAGAGAAAGGAAAAGAAGGAGAAAGTGCGGTGTGTATGGTGGTTGGATTTTATTGTATCGTGTGGTAGAAATGGGTAGCGAAGAAGAGAGGGTTCTTGAGAACCAACTAGAACTTCAATTGCACGAGCAAAGGGATTCTCTCACTGCAATCGATCACGCGCTTCTCCTTGATCCAACCAATTCCGAACTCCTCGAGGTGTGTAATGATTCTGCAACCCTATATCATCAATTCAATTCTCGTGTTGTTTATTAAATCCCTTATTATCTCATTGAATTGTACTTGTAATATAGTTTTTTAGGGTAGCAGAGTTGAAATCGGCGTGGTTTATTGTTTGTGTCATTATTAGGGTTTTTTGTTCTTCGTTGACATGACTTGGAAAATCCATTTGAGTTGTTGGTTAGCTTTTCTATGTTTGTTTAGGGTTAACTCCTATGCTGTGTAATGTCTTCTACTTTGTGTGCCTAAACAATGGAATACAAATGCATCATTGCCTCAAACTCTTGGAAAAGTTGCACCAATTATCTTAGGGTATGCTTGGATTGGTGGTATGGGTTAGAATGAAACGGAATGAAGTGGTAAATAATGAGATTTCATTGTTTGGATTTGCAAATAGTTGATGGAGTGGAATGGAACATGATGAATCCACTCCATCTTATTCTATCCAATCCGATTTGGAGTGTATGCAATGGAGTGAGACTTTTTTAATTAAATATCCCAACCATGGAGTGGGATCTATATTCCATTCTGCATCTCTCCATCCACTCTGTTATGTTCCATTCTCCTCTGTTATGTTCCATCAATCCAATTCCAAACATAGCGTAAGTCCTGGTTGGATAAACAACTTAATTCTACTCTTATAAGAGCTTGTCATATAACTTATAAGTGCATAACCAACTTAATTAAGCGTTTATTAGAATTTGTCATATAAGTGCTTAAACAACTTAATTAAGCGTTTATAAGAATTTGTCATATAAGTGCTTAAACAACTTAATTAAGCGTTTATAAGAATTTGTCATATAAGTGCTTAACCAACTTAATTAAGCGCTATAAAGAGCTTGTCAATCATATAAGTGCATAAACAACTTAATTAAGCGCTTTATAAGAACTTGTTGTATACGTGCATAAACAACTTAATTAAGCGCTTGTCATATAGGTGCATATGTATAGGCTATTATATAATAGAACATAAAATAAAATCTAACTGTTTACATATAAATTGTAAGTTGTTTTAATAAGCTATCGTTGGGAGCTTGTGGTAATAAGCTGAAAACAACTTGGGGACATGTCATAAGCTGTTTCCATGAGCTCCCCTAACAGTCTACAAGGGCTTATGTCAGTAGATGAACTTAAATAAGCCAATACCAACAGATCCTTAGTTACACTCAATAGAAGGATTGTAGTAGCGGGAAGGAAGACAATTTTGAAAAGGATAAGAGTGGAGTTAGGTTTGGTAATTTAAGTGCTTAATACAGTAATTAGAATTAGTTCATTAAGCCAAGATGGATTAGACAGTTAGTCATATACAGCTGTCATCCACTCTGCATGAAAACAGAATCCATGTGCATAGTTCATAACAGATTCATTTAATAATACTAATTCAGTTTTGCTTCTCTTTCTCTTTCAGTTTTGACCTCATATTGTTTGATATCACAGGTTCATGAGGAGCTTGTTCAGGCAATTAAGGGTGCTGAGGAAGGACTTCTTCACCTAAAGCGTTCAAGATTATTATCTGAAGCAGATGCAGTGCTGCGTAGTACTAATATTTTTGCTGAAGAAGAGAAAGTAGAGCCACTTGATCCTGCTGATGTTGAACCAGAGCCACTAGAAGGAAAATGCTTTTCTGTTGGATCTAAATGTAGATTTCGTTACAAAGATGGACGTTGGTACAATGGTCAAGTGCTGCAATTGGATAATTCAGCGGCAAAGATTTCATTTCTTACTCCTACATCTGAAAATATGCTGGTATGTAAGATTATCTTGGGTCAAATGTATCTCTTATATTTTTGGTGACAAAATGTATATTGCAGTATTCTATTTTATAATTTTAACTAACAATATTGTAGTTTTTCTCCCCCTCCATGTCCTCTAATGTAACAAATAAAAATTAAGGGAGCTTGAAATAACAACAGTTTGCCAAATTTTGAGTTTAATCTAATGTATAGATGGGAAAAAATAGGCTATACAAGCATATCATGGGTATTATGCTTTATTTCTAATTTTGCCTAGATATATTTAGGAGTAGAGAAAAAGGCATGATAAGTTTATTTTTGCCGTTTCTTCTATTTTTGTGAAGAAATGTATATAGCAGTATTCTACTTTGTATTTTTAACTAATATTGTTTTTTTGATAAGTTTTTTTACACAGCTTTTTCTTTTTAAAAATAAGGTTGTGTAAAAAAGAAAGAGATATCACCTTTCTAAAAGATACAGCAGGGAGTTTTAAATATCAATAGTTCTCCAGTGTTTTTTTACACCACAACCTTCATCCAAGTTTTTCTGTCCTTCAATTTCTTCTACTGCAACTAGGAAGAAAACAATGGAGCTTGAAATAGTAATAGTTCGCCTGTTTTTAGATTGAATTTAATATATACATAGGGAAAAATATGCAACACATGCATATGATGGGTATTACACTCTATTTCTAATTTTCTAAGATTTATTTAGAAGCAGCGAAAAAAGCAAATGATGAGTTTACATATGCTGATTTGAATACCCCCATTTCTCTTCACCTATAGCCGTCTCCAAAATAAGGAATGTGATCCGTCATATGTTGTCACAGTAGTGCAACTCCTCACTAGACAAAATAAAAACATGATCTGGTGTTCCCTCTCACAATTTAAACTCTCGGGGATAGTTATTCATGGTATGGTGTCCTAGTGGTCTAGAGTTTTATCCATGGTAATCCAAATTATTATTACGAAAGTTGAATTTAAGCACAATGTAGGTGATCTTGTGCATTGTTCACGCTTTAAATCCAGAGTTTTTCGAGAGTTCGTTTATTTTTAGACATCATATAAATATCATTTATAGGTTTGAACCTAAGCATTTGGAAAAGTACACTCAGCCTATCCTTACCAAACTGATATACGTGATCTATATAGGCGATCTTGTGTGTTGTTCACGCCTGGAACCCAAAGGGTTCTTCCGTGACTGGGTGTATTTTTAGATATCATATAGAAATTATTTATAGGTTTGAACCTAATAGCGTAAGCATTTGTAGAAGTGCAGTGCGCCTAACTCATCTTTACTAAACCGGCTTGAAAGATGATGATTGTCCCCATTTATATACATATTTTCAAGTCATATCTCATCCAATGCAAGACTATAAACTATATGAAAGGGATTAGCTCAATTTTCCTTTCCTTTAACATGGTATCATAGAGCTCCAGTTTGATCAATGGCGTTCGAAAATCCTCCTCCTCTTACTCCACCACAAAGTCCACCTATTTGTTTACCTCTGATGATAATTCCTCCGTCTTCCAATGAAGATTTGCCTCGTGTCAAATTCTTGCTGAAAATTTCCAAGAAGCTTGATGAGAAGAACTTAGTTTGGGCGTCAACATGTTGAGCCAATCATCAGTGCTCACAATCATGAAAACTTCATATGTTTTTCCTGAAATTCCTCTCAGTTTATTCAAAGTGCTGGTTAGCTTCCAATGTTGAAAATCCAGAGTATCGTCCTTGGATTCGCCAGGATCAATGGCTTTTGTCGTGGTTACAATCGATCTTAGCTGGTTCTATTATGACACATGTGCTAGGTTCTTTTCATGCATACTAGATTTGGAAGTGAATTCACGGCCACTTCCATAAGCTCACGTGTGCGAGAGTGCGGCAGCTCTGTTCTGCACTTTGAGCTACTGATCGCCCGCCCTGTAGAAGAGGACCTTCTTTGCATCAAAGTGCTCGTTGATTCACTTGCATCCGTTGGCAACCTCATTCCACCACAACAACACATTGTTGTCGTTCTGGAAGGTCTACCTCAAGAGTTTGGATCTGTAATATCTTGATAAATTGTTCAAATTTAATCTATGTTGTTATAATATTCCGATAATTAAAAATATGTTAAGGATAAATATTTATTTATTATTCTATACAAAATCATTCTTTCAAAAAATGTTCAAAATTTCTCAATATTTTCTTTAAATTTTCTTTTTATGAAGCCTTCCCTTCCTTTCCCTCCTAACTTGCAATGTCAAGTGTGCTTCAAGTTTGGCCATATTGCAGCGATCTGTTATAACAGATTCAATCAGCATAGGCACACTTTTGATCTCTCTTTTGCTCTCTTAAGTCATGCCTCTCTTCATGCCTTTCTTACTGTTATCTATCTCATTAATGGACTCCCCTCAGCTTCAATTGATCAAGCTTCTCCTTACTTTACTCAACCTGGTCAGCATCTTGATTACAGATTCCTTAAAAGTATTTAGCCGAGCTTGTTTCCCTTTGTTAAGGCTTTATAATCCTCACAAATTTGACTTTAGGTCTCACGAGTGTGTATTTTTAGGTTACTGTACCTTTCTCAAGGGTTACAAATGTCTCTCACATGTGGACATCTCTATATATCTAAAGATGTCTTGTTCAATGAGTCTAGGTTTCCCTATCTTGATTTGTTTTTCATTAAATCTGATCCATCCACTCCTTCATCCAAGTCTATATCTTTTAGTCCCGTTCCTTTAGTTTCCTCACATTTCTCACCACCTATTTCTCATCAACAACCTTTCCCCATTACTACTCTCAATCAGACATCAACCAACCATTCCCCCAATAGGTCCATATCTCCACTTTATTCTTCAACAAATACTGCACCACCACCTCCTAGTCCTCCCATTGCATATCCCACAACACAGTACCACAACCCCTATAACCGCTTCCTCACCTTCCTCCATCCATATCCTACCAACCCAACCACAAAACACTCATCTCATGCAAACCAGAACAAATCTTGGATTCCCTTACCTCACCTTCATCCATCAGTTTTTCTTACTGACACCGAACCTAAAACTGCCAAATAAGCCCTGAAAGATCTTAAATGGCTCTAAGCCATCCAGGAAGAATACAATTCCCTATTTAAAAATGCCACCCTGTCTCTCTGCCTCCCAATAGGAAAGCCATTGGGTGTAAATGGGTCTTTAGGATAAAAGAAAATGCTGATGATACTGTCAATAAGTACAAGCCAAGGCTAATTGCTAAAGGATTTCATCAACTTCATGGTTCAGACTTCCATTAAACATTCTCTTCTTATTATGCCTGTGACTATTTGCCTTATTTTGACCCTAGCCATCAATCACAAATGGCCAATCAAGCTACTAGATGTCAATAATTCCTTCTTGAATGGGGTTCTTGATGAATAAGTTCATATGGAACAACCCACATGATTCACTTCTATGACTCAACTCTAGTTTGTTGCTTGCACACAGCCTTATATTGCCTTAAATAGACATCTAGACAATGGTTTGGTTGCTTAAGAAGCACTCTACTAAATTGCGGCTTCAAAAAAAGCAAATGTAATCTATCTTTGTTTACTCACACCTCTAATTCCACTGTTACTTACCTTTTGACCTATGTGGATGTAATCATCCTTATTGGCAACTCTACAACCTTGATGCAATTCGTGACTCACAAACTAAACAGCTTCTTCTCACTAAAACAGCTACGGGACTGAAAGGTCTGCTATTGTTTGTTAAGATGTTGTTTCTTGTTAGTGAAGTAGTTTGTTAGTTAGTTAATGGGTGGTTAGTAGTTATGTTAAGAGGTAGTTAGGCCAAATAAGACTTGCTGCCTATAAATAGATAGGAGGATTAGAGAGGGCAACATCTTATCATTTGAGAGGAAGAAGGCCTTTTGGCATTGTTTATAATCAAAGGAGATTCTTCCCCATTTTCAGTAATAATACACCAGTTGGTTCTATCGGGCCTTGATTGTTTTCTTGGCATTGAGGTAACTTCGCATTCCACCGGATACTCATTCTCACCTCAGACCAAATATATCCATATTCTCACTCAAACCAAATATATCTGTGATCTGCTGTTAAAAATGGCTATGCATGAAGCCAATCCTTTTCCCTTTTTACACCCAGTTCCAAACTCTCCAGAACTAGTTCTGCTCACTTCTATTTTCCCACCTTTTTTAGATCAGGGGTGGGTTCTTTACATTACAGTATGCTACTATCACAAGACCTGAATTGAGCTACTCTGTCAACTAAGTTTGCCAATTTATGGCAAATCCTTTGGACACTCACTAGCAAGCTGTCGAAAGGGTTCTACATATCTTCAAGGCACTGTATCTTGGACTTCTCCTCACCTGCCTCTCCTCAGATACCTATCTCTTTATCAGAATTTTGTGGTTCCTTTTGCCTGCTCCACTGTTAACTGTGACGACCACATCACAGTAGCCATGTCACACCATCCGGTTCTGCATGCCAGAACAAAATACATGGATATAGACTTACTTTTTTGTCAGGGAAAGGTTCTTGCCAAGCAGCTTGAAGTGGTGCATATCCCTAGGTCTGATCCAATAGCTGATATCCTTACAAAAGCCTCTTTCCAATGAGAATTTTTGGCTTTTGTACCAAGCTCAAGGTGGTTTCCCCTGTTCCTAAGAAAACTCACCCTGATCTTGAGTGTGTGTGTGTGGGATAAGCATCTCTAGTTGTTTTCTGTTGTTTCTAACCAGCCGTGTGTATTTCAGCATATGTCAAAATAGAATGCCACATCAGCATATCTGTCTCAGGTTAGTTAGATCTGAGTGCAGGATAACACAAGTATAAACCCCTAGAATCTGTCTAAACAGATAAGGACTGTAATACACAATTTTAATATATGAAAAATATGAAAGCAATTCTCTCAAATGGCGGAATACTTTGAAATTGATTTGTAGCAACTCATTTGTAATATGGTTTATACTAGTAGTGTTTTGTGAATGTAAATTGGCAGTTTTCCTGACACAGCTTTTGAAACCCTTGTTTTCTGCTATTACCAAATTTCAACTCTTTTCTAGTGTTTGGAAAACTATGGAATAAGATACCACAAGAAATCATTTTTTTTGGAAATAGTATATTTTACATGTCATTAAATATTTCATATAAACATCCTTTATAAATGATTTTATCTATTAAATTAGTAAAATCCCAGTGAAATCTTGCACAATAATTCTTAACTACTAAAATGCGGAAGTTAAAAAGCCCCTTATCGTGGCATTTTGATTTTGTCTTTGTCATTCTTTGTGTCTCATTTCTTCTTCTGACAACTTTAGCCTTAAATGTTCTCATGGATTTCAGTGACCTCATCTGCCATTAATTGCCTTATAAAATGATGTTCTCATGGATTTATCTGCCATTAATTGCCTTATAAAATGATGTTAATCACGAAAACTCGTTCTGATTGAACATTATATGGATAATGTATGGGTGTGAAGTAGAATGGAATTGCTACTTTGAAGATGTTCATCCTAGCATTTGCATTCATCAAAATTTAGGTTTCAGATTATTCGATGAAATCAATTGTTTTTCCTTCCATGTACTAACACTAGAACACCAAAGTGCAGATGTGCAAGTTCTTTTTACAACAACGATGTCGATTTGGTAGTAACTGTCGCCTATCCCATGGTAAGCTGCTGATATTTAGGAAATTTGGCAAAATCAAATTGATTAGAAGTGAAATCGCATGGATCTCATTGTTATCAACTCTTTCACTAAACTTTTGTGATACTTGCACTTTTAAGTGCAGATATTTAATGAGCATATGTACCATTTTTTCCTTGATAAGTTCTTGGTTCAAGTCTTTGTTCAGATCTGGAAGCTTGCACACGTGTATAAACTTTTGGTGCCCATGTTTTACTTTATTGTTAAACATATATTTGGTTATCATCACAAGGGAAACACTTTTTTTATTTTATTATATAGAATGCTGTACCGTTGTGAGGTTTAGATTTTGCTTAACATCTTAAAATATGTAGGTGGCTTGTGTAATTTCACCTAGATTAAGGAGGTATAGTAGTCTTAGAGCTAACAAAAGGATTAAAGATAAATATTTGGATGTTGTTAATCCCAATTCATAGATCCTGTGTATGGAAATGAAACAGTAATAGATTACAGTGGATGGAGGATTAACCTCCTTGATAAAGAAATAGCAATGATATCCGCAAGTTTGAGAATACCCCCCTCTGAGATGAGAATTCCTTCTCGTGTCTCAGCCCTTCCAATTCCTACTCACGCCCCAGATGCCTGCTCTATTCGGTTCTTCGTCTATATATCACTTTTTTCTATTCATCAATGATTCTCACACTTTCCTTCTCCAATCCCGTCCTTCCAGCTGTCCATTATGTTTTTTTCCTTCACTCTCCTCTAACCAATTTTGCGAACGCACTCTTTTCTCCCTTCCTTTCATAAACACGCAGGCCTCAATCTCGTGGCTTTTTCTTCTTCTTTACTTCCCTTTTCCTAAGACACCTTGTACAACGGACCTATCATATAGTTATCCTATCCCTACCTACATCTAAATTTGATCTATTTATTCACAGTGGGCTATGTGTTTGGAATTTATTTTTAAAATGGTAATTCTTTCCCAGTTCAATGTTTGTGGCATTGGGGATGAAATGTTTCCCTGCCTCACTCATCCAGTTGCTTCCATATACCTAAGTTTCTAAATGCATTAAGACACACTAGAGCATTGGGGAATTAGTCTATGAAAGAAAACATAAACAAATTACAGACTTAGTTTTGTTAATGCAATTGATTTTTCCTTTTTGTGTTTGAGAATATGAAGGGTTAGATGTCAAGAGATCCCCTTATTTATTTTTTGGTCCAGAATAAATCTCTCACCCCTTTAATCTGGATTTTTAGTATACCATAAGTCTATTTTTAAATGCGCGGTTTCTGTTTTATAGTTTTACTGCTGTTGAGGTTATGGGATTTCAGAAGAAGAAAGAGAAAAAAAAATAAAGATATTATAGAAATATGCTTTTTCTATACTATTTATTCTGTAACATAGTACATGAGTATTTATAGAATATAAATTACACTAAGAAATAGGGGTAATTATTCTCCCTATAAATGCTAATCCTAAATAAGGTAAGAATATAATAATACAATTAATTTCTATTTAATCACAATTTGAATCCAGCCATAATGAGCTGTATGACAGAATCTGTTTTGATTTTGTGCTAATATTCAACACTCCCCCTCAAGCTGGCATGAATATATCGTTCATAGCAAGCTTGCACACCATGTTATCAAACAGTCTCTTTGGAAGACTCTTTGTGAGAACATCTGCTACTTGACTTTTGGTAGGTATGTAGGACATACAAATCTCACCGCTGTCAATTTTTTCTTTGATGAAATGCTTGTCCACTTCAACATGCTTCGTCCTGTCATGTAGGACAGGATTATGGGCAATAGAAATAGCAGCCTTATTATCGCAGTAAACTTTAATTGGAGTTGGGCCAAAGAACTTCAATTCTTCCATGAACTTTTTGATCCATAATACTTCACAAAAACCATGGGCCACAGATCGGAATTCAGCTTCTGCACTGCTCCTGGCTACAACATTTTGTTTTTTGCTCCTCCATGTAACTAGATTTCCACCTACAAAAGTACAATATCCTGAGGTAGACCTTCTATCATTTATATTACCTGCCCAATCAGCATCTGTATAGGCTTCAACCTGTATATGTCCTCTATTTCTGAATATCAGCCCCTTTCCCGGAGTACCTTTCAAATATCTTAATATTCTGAAAATAGCTTAAAAGTGGGCTGCACCTGGTGCATGCATAAATTGGCTTATTACACTCACTGCAAAGGCTATATCTGGCCTTGTATGTGACAAATAAATTAGTCTTCCAGCCAATCGTTGATAACGTTCTTTATCTACTATTTCATCTTCAGCAACTGACTTTAGTTTCACATTGGGATCCATTGGTGTTTCTACTGCTTTAGACCCTGTCATCCCTGTTTCTGCAAGTAAATCGAGTATGTACTTGCGCTGGTTGAGAAAAATACCTTCTTTAGATCTTGCGAACTCCATCCCAAGAAAGTATTTTAACTTTCCAAGATCCTTGATATCGAACTCAGCCTCAAGTCTTCTCTTCAGATCACTAATTGCTTTGACGTCATCTCCTGTAATAATAATGTCATCAACATACACTATTAAGATAGCAATCTTACCTTCAGATGAGTGTTTAAAGAACATAGTGTGATCTGCTTGACTTTGGGTGAAACCGTGTCTCTTAACAACACTTCCAAATCTCTCAAACCAGGCCCTTGGCGATTGTTTCAATCCATATAGGGATTTTCTCAATCTGCATACTTTGTTTCTTCCAAGATTTTTTTCAAATCCAGGAGGTAAACTCATATATACTTCTTCATGTAATTCACCATTCAAGAAGGCATTTTTAACATCATATTAATATAGTGTCCAGTTGAAATTTACTGCAAGAGAAAGAAGAATTCTGATAGAATTGATCTTAGCAACTGGGGCAAAAGTCTCTTGGTAATCAATACCATGAGTTTGAGTAAATCCTTTTGCTACTAATCTCGCTTTGTATCTTTCCACACTTCCATCAGCCTTGCATTTCACTGTAAAGACCCACTTACACCCTACTGCCTTTTTATCTTGTGGTAGATCAGTGATACTCCAAGTGTTATTTTTGTTTAGAGCATCCATCTCTTCTTTCACTGCTAATTTCCAATTCGGATCACTTAATGCTTCCTGAATAGTTCTGGGCACAAACAAATTAGAAATCCTAGACACATATGCCTTATGGGTGTGTGATAGTTTGTCATATGACAAGTAATTAGACATAGGATGTTTAGTGCACATACGAGAACCTTTCCTCTCAGCAATTGGGACATCGAGGTCAGGAATATTTTTTCTCACAGAAATTGGAAGATTAATATCAGGAAAAGACAAATCAGATAAATCATTGGATGAGTAAGAAGGATTACCAGATGAAGAACTAGAAGACAGATTATCTGTAGGACCTTCACTTGGTAAATCAGATTGGATTTCTACTGGAGAGACAATAGGGTTTGCACCACCTTTGTGGAATTTTTTTCGAACATACACTTTAAGTTCAGGATTATCATCCTTAATCAGTGTTTCTCCCCCTGTTTCAGATTCTATTATCTTAGCATTTGGGTGATTTGTAGTCACAATATCATCTAGAGCAGGCAAAGTTTCCCAAAAATTATCTTCTTTATTATTACATTGACTTTCCCCCTGAAGAGAATTTTTAAAAAAAGGTTGATTTTCAACAAAGTGAACATCCATGCTTTCAAAAAATTTCTTTGTAACTGGGTTAAAACATTTGTATCCCTTTTTATTGGAAGCATAGCCAAGAAAAACACATTTTTCGGCTTTAGGATCCAACTTAGAACGAAAAACATTGGGGATGTAAACATAACAAAGACAACCAAAAATTTTAAGGGGCGTAATAATACGAGATGTAGGAAAATTGTTTTGTAACACTTGTACAGGACTTTCATATTGTAACACCCGAGATGGCATTCGATTGATGAGGTGACAAGCAGTTAATAAAGCATTTCCCCAAAGATACTTAGGTACATTCATAGAAAACATAATAGCTCTAGTGACTTCGAGGAGATGTCTATTTTTTCTTTCAGCAATACCATTTTGCTGCGGAGTATCGCGACAAGTGGATTGATGAATTATCCCCTTAGTTACAAGGAATGTACTTAAATATTTGTTGAAATATTCAGTGCCATTGTCAGACCTTAGAATGCCAATCTTAGTTTGAAATTGATTGTTAATCATGTTAAAAAAATCTTGAAATCTTTGTTCAACTTCTGATTTTTTCTCCATGAGATAAACCCAACACAGCCGTGTATGATCATCAATAAATGTTACAAACCATTTTTTTCCAGACATAGTTTTAATTTTTGAAGGACCCCAAACATCACTGTGAATTAAATAAAAAGGTTTAGAAGCAGAATAGGCTTTTGATTTAAAAGACACACGATGATCTTTAGCTAAGTGACAAGCTTCACAATGAAATTGTGAGAAATTTATTTCTTTGGAAAAAATAGGAAACAAATGCTTAAGATATGAAAAACTAGGGTGACCTAATCTTTTATGCCATAACATAATTTGATCTGAAACAGGAGATGCGTTTGTACTGTTTGAACCGAAAAACGCTTTATTGCCAAACTGAATTCCATCAAGGTAGTACAATCCATTCATCTCTCTAGCAGTTCCAATCGTCTTCCCCGAGTTCTGGTCCTGAAAAACACAAGTAGAGGGACGAAAAAGAACAGAACAATTAGTGTCCTTAGACAATTTATGAACAGATAGAAGATTACAAGCGAATTTAGGAACATGTAAAACAGATTGCAAAGTGATTTGCTCTGAAATTTTTATGCTGCCTTTGCCTGCAATACTTGAATAACTACCATCAGCTATCCTAACTTTTTCAAAACCTGAACTAGGAAAATAGGTACTGAATAGATGAGAGCAATTAGTCATGTGTTCAGATGCCCCTGAATCTATTATCCAAGGGTTAGAGTGGTTGTGAGCAGATAGTGCCCAGGAATCCTTACCTGTTTGTGCCACAGTTCCAGTAGGGATATTAAGAGATGAATTGGACTTTAGAAACTTAAGAAGGTTATCCATTTGCTCCTTCGTACATGGAGACGAATCAGCCTCATTGGCCATAGGCATAGGACGATCACCAAACTTACCAGCCTTGCCATGATTTGGTCGCCCATGTAGTTTGTAGCAAGTTTCCCGAGTGTGGCGATTGCGCCCACAGTAATCGCAAAATAAATGAGTCTTGTCTCCACCTCGTTGATTATGAAGTGGTTTACGATTGACATGGGGAATTGCCAAGGCAGATCCTTCAACTGGTGGAGGGACAGCTGCTGTATTTTTTCCAAGCATCACTTGCCGACGACTCTCTTCGCGACGTACTTCTGAAAAGACTTCACCAATTGGAGGGATAGGATTTCTGCCTAGAATTCGGCCACGAACCTCATCAAAATCAACATTTAGACCCGCAAGGAACTTGAAAACACGACTAACATCCACCATCTTCTTGTAATGTTTGCTATCGGCAGGTGATTTCCACTCATACTCATTGAAAAGGTCCAAATCTTGCCAAATACGTTTGAGACAATTGAAGTATTTGGTGACTGAATCTTCACCTTGCCGAATTTCTCCCAATTTGAGAGTTAATTCGTAGATTTGGGATTGATTTTCCAAATCAGAGTACATTTGGGAGACACCTTCCCAAAGTTCTTTTGCAGTATCATAACAGAGATAATTTGCACCTATCTCTTCATCCATGGAGTTGACTAACCATGTCATGACCATGAAGTTTTCAGCATCCCATGTATCATAATCTGCACCTGCCTTGTCTGGTTGTTTTTTGTCGCCAGTAATGTAGCCAATCTTTCCTCTCCCCCTGAGATACATACGAACGGATTGCGACCATCGAAGATAATTAGCACCGTTCAGCCGAATTGTTGTGATCTGAACAAGGTGGTTTTCATGGTACGTTCGGACTAATTTAGGTTCGGGTGAGGAATGTTTGGGTGAAAGTGAGGACTCGGTATCAGACATTGTGGGATGTAAAAAAGATAAACAGAGCGGAAGCAAAAACAAAAAAAACCCCTAAAGGATTCTTGTTGCTACTGATACCATATAGAAATATGCTTTTTCTATATTATTTATTCTGTAACATAGTACATGAGTATTTATAGAATATAAATTACACTAAGAAATAGGGGTAATTATTCTCCCTATAAATGCTAATCCTAAATAAGGTAAGAATATAATAATACAATTAATTTCTATTTAATCACAATTTGAATCCAGCCATAATGAGCTGTATGACAGAATCTGTTTTGATTTTGTGCTAATATTCAACAGATATGAAGTTGTTATTATATTTTGATATGATTGATAATCCAAAAAAAAAAAAAAACACTAAGCACCGACACTTCATTCTACTAGAACTCTAAACTCCTAAATTCAATACAAACGGGGTAAAAAATCATGATAACTTAAGTTACTATGAGATAATATCAAGGTGTTAGATATCTGCATAGCATCTAAATATATATTTCACAATTACCATCTGGTTGTTGGTTATTTTTTTAATATTAGTGTTCATATATTTTCTTATGTTACAGCTTTATCTATGTTTACAGGAATTGATGTTCAACTGTCCTCCCTTAAGGAATATGTCCCGACAATCTGGAAGCCGTCCCATGCGGGGTCAAGTATATGGGCAGTCTCAAATGCAAATGCAGGCATTTGGAGAGAAGCCGAGCTTGAGTCATGGGATGAAAAAGCTGGAGTTGGACAAGTTGTTTTCCGAGACAATGGAAGTTCTGTGAAGCTTGGTGCACAAGATATGGTATTAACTGAGTATGCAGATGTGAGTGACATGGATAGTGATTTCAGCTCAGAGCAATCCGATTACAGTGGCTCCGAGGAAGAGGAACCACAAGGTTTAGGATTTATGGATAGTACCAACTTACAGAAAGGCGTTCAAACCGAAACTGCTATATTTGCAAAGTGGGAGAATCACACCAGAGGCATTGCTTCCAAAATGATGGCGAATATGGGTTACCAAGAAGGAATGGGCTTAGGTTTAACTGGTCAGGGTATGGTTGATCCCATACCAGTTAAGGTCCTACCACCAAAGCAGTCATTAGATCATGCACTCAAGTCTCATAAAGTAGAAAGGAACACAGAGAAGCAAAGGAAGAAACGGACCAGAGGTGGTAGGAAAAAACGCGAGAAGAAATTTGCAGAAGCAATTCGTGCCGCAAAAGAAAAAGAAGAATCAGCACCAGATGTCTTTGCGCTAATAAATACTCAACTAGCAATGCACGGTGAAGCTTCCAATGATGGTGGATCAATGAAGAAGCAGCCAAGTAAAAGTTCAGGGGAAGGTAAAAAGGTGGATAGGAGGGTGTTGGTTGCTTATGAGAATGATGTGAAGGATCTGAAAGTGCAGGTTCAAAAGTTTGAACAAATGGCGGAAGCAAACAAAAAAGAAAAGCCTGTTTATGATGTTGCTATGAAAAAATTAGTTCAAACTCGCAAAGCTTTGGCAGAGGCTGAAGCAGTTCACGCCTCTGCCTTAAATGATGTTGTTAGCAAAGAAAAAGAGAAGAGATGGCTTAAGTTTTAGTTAGTACTTAGGACTCAGTTCTGTTTGTAGTTGCATAATGTAATGCCTTCAGTTCACGCCTCTGCCTTAAATGATGTTGTTAGCAAAGAAAAAGAGAAGAGATGGCTTAAGTTTTAGTTAGTACTTAGGACTCAGTTCTGTTTGTAGTTGCATATAATGTAATGCCTTCAATGATGATACTTAAAAAAGAAGAAAAGGAAAGAAAGCTCACATGTCTAAGTAACTCTACTACAATACTAGTAATTTGCGGTGTACTATAGTATGTTGTAGCTCAAGTACATGCTCTGTTCTAGTGCAAGTGGAAGATGTGTGTAATTTTGTTTTAATAAACCATCAATTTGATTATGAAACTATCATTCTCTTTAATTTAGTCTGTAAATTTTATAAATAGAATGAGTAGTTTCAAATGTATATAAAATCAGTCGAATATCAAGATATTAGATTTTTTAGTGGCAAAATAATATATATACAGAATAAAAGATGAATAGACTTAAGGCAAAAACACTTTACCTGTTATTGTTTATGCGAAAGATAGGATTTTAATTTAAAGCCGGTCGTTAGAGTTTAAATTGATAACTTTTAAATATATTTTAGGGAACAAACATAGTTTATTATATTTAAATGTTAGAGATTAATTTGATGAATTTTATATGTTTTAGAAATTATTTATTATATTTATATAAGATAGAGACAAAATAGAAGAATTAGTGATAGTTCTTATTAGATTTATGATTTGTTCATAATCTCTTAAACCGGTGGTTAGCATTGCACTGTTTCTTACACATTGTTTATTTTACACATTGTTTGGAACAGCTGAAAGACGAAAGAAAGAAATCTGGAAGCTAATAGAAATTATTGATTTTTGTGCTTCTCTAATTTGGTTGCATTACGAGGAAAGAAGAGTTTTGTTGGACCCTAGCCAAAAAATGATTCTCCCTACGATGGAAAGAAATCTGGAAGCTAATAGAAATTATTGATTTTTGTGCTTCTCTAATTTGGTTGCATTACGAGGAAAGAGGAGTTTTGTTGGACCCAAGCCAAAAAATGATTCTCCCTAAACATGGAGAGGAATGGTAAAAGAATATTATATTGATATATTTGTAAAGGAACTAATTAGGACGATAACTATATGTTGTTCTTAGGGAGAAACTATCTCGTCTCAATATTTTCTTCTCACTCAGTCATGAAAAACATGAGATAAGATATTTTTGGGGTAGAGAGAAGTCAGGGTCATCACCTAACCCACGACCCCCTTGAAAATAGAGATTCAACGGTCCACCATTGATTGAGTGGACGATGACCTTTTTTAAGGAAACCTCAGACCGAAAGCCTCTATAAAAACCTCCCATAACAAGAGGAAAGACAAATCTTAACTCATACGCATATACACAAGCAACCAACACATATATAAAGTCTCTCATCTCACGTGACCAGGTTCTCTAAACTACCGTACAAGGTTTCTTGCTGCTGTGAGCAAGTTCTAACCACCACGATTTGTTATACACCTACTAAGAAGGCCTTTGAGTGCCAGTATCCTTTCAAGGGTAACATGCACAACTGTACTTTTTGACTTGTACAGTGGCACCCACTGTGAGACCCAATAAAACTAACATGGGCCACACCTATTTTATTCTAACCCCTTCCATCTTTCATCTGAAGATGACTGACAAAGCTCTATGTTCCAACACAAACACCATAGTGAAAGTTTCGCTGGTAGATGTAGCTCTAGCTCCTCCCAGAGGAAATACGCAGGCCAGATGCTTGTAGTAAATGTAATATCTCATTGCTTTCCCAAGGGCGTGCGAGGGAAAACATGAATTAACATCACCCTTTTCAGTGAGGACGTCATCAAAGTTAATCCTCAGATAATGACCCCCTGTTCATCACTGTGCAACATGGTAACTGAGATATCAAACGAATCTTGATAGATCCTAGCAACTCTTCTATCGTCCTATTCTAGGAGACATTCTAAAAACTGCAACTCAATCCTAACGATGTCAAAGTGTTTAGCGATTCGTTAATAGAATTGTCAAGCAAACAAGTACAAGTAAAGGGTCATGTGACCTTGTAGACTACATGTGGTGAGGGCGTAAATGCTAAGGTGATTGTCGTCAACTATCTAATTGTTGACGCCCTGTCGCAATATAACATCATCCTTGGGCGACCTATTATCAACGCACAAGAGGCGGTCATTTCCACCCTATATTTAGTCTTGAATTATCCACTTCCTAGAGGGAAATCCAGTATAATCAGAGGATACCAACAGATCGTTCAAGAGTGTTACCGAAGTATCCCGACGACAGAAAGGGAATAACTCATCCTTGTTGGTGCCCCCCTTTCTAAAGTTCCAAATACTGATCTCAAGTGTTGGGATCCTGAATTGGGCATGGAAGGTGAAAGGTTCACGCCCAGGGAAGACTTGAAGGAAGTCTAGATAGACCCTTTCGCCCATCTGGTTACAAAGATAGACACTTCATTAAATAAGGAGGAAGAACATGAGCTAGTCGACCATCTCATTAAGAATGTCTGTAACGCCCCAATTTATTTGAATTATTTTTTCGTAATTAAATTATGAGTTGTTGGTGTTTTGGTGTGTTAGAGGTACCCTTTGGTGTAGGGTTATGACCTTAAAGAATAGAACTTAAGGTGTTGAGAGTGGAGGGAGAGCGCCCTTTACTATTTTATTTAAATAAGAATTTAATTGAATAAAATAATATTAGTGATAATAATTAAATGATTATTTTAATTATTATAGTAATGTGACATTATAGAATAAATATTTATTTTATTTTATTGGAATAAGGAATTAATAGGAATAATAATAATTATAATATTGGAATAAAAATAAGTGTAGATGAGTTAGAAGGAAAGTTGTCGGTACACGTGAAATTGGTGAAAAAGGAAGAACATGAAAAGAGAAGGAAAGAGGAAGAGAACTAGGGCATAAGAAGGGAACCTCCATTAGAGATGTCTCAATATTATCATCTAAGGTAAGGGTGGGGTTCCGATTCTATAAGGGTTTGCATAATGATTGTGGGCGGGAATTTGGATTGCTATGTTAGAATTGTTTCTCCTGATGCTATGAACTTGTAATTGTGTGATCATGAACTTGTAATTCTTGTTGAGTTGTATTTCCTCGTGTCGAAGCAGTGTAGCTCGACAAAAACAAAGTCTAGTCAAATTAGCCTAATGTGTGTATATTTTCGAGTTGTATTAGTGTGTCAAAGTGTCGAAGCAGGTTGCTTCACATAAGATTTCGACTTAGGCCTATTTTAGTAATGTTAGTTATTTTGGGCTTTTATAGTTTTGGGATTTGCCTTTGGGTGCAAGCTAACCTAAATCTAATAATTCAAATCATAACATTCTATTCACAGTTTTGCAGTTGCAAAGTGAATAAGAAATTCCAGTTTGGAAGCAGAGAGAAACTCTGCAGAATATTCATTCATTCTTCTTCTCCAACGTTATTTTCTTTCTTTCTCAACCTTTTCTTTCATTGTCATTGCGCGATTGACAACAATCTTGAATTCAAGATTGAGTGAAATTCTCCATAGTTGTGCTTGAATTCCAACATCTGGTATCTAGAGCTCTGGTTGCAATTCAAGGAAGGAAAATCGTAATGGCGATGAATCATCCAAACTGCCACTTTCTAGCAAACCTTTCGATTCTCAAGAAAGATAATTACGAGAATTGATGCAAGTAGATTAAGGTGGTTTTCTGTTATCAATATCTTCGGGATCTTGTGAAGGAAGGAGTAGCATCGCTTGTAGAAAATGCGACGAATCAACAAAAGACTGCACACAAAGAATTAAAGAAGAAAGATTATAAAGCTCTCTTTATAATCCATCAATATGTTGATTCAGATAATTTTGAAAAAGGTTAGTGATGTAGAATCAACGAAGGAAGTATGGGAGTTTCTTGAAAAATCGTTTGGAGGTGCAGATAAGGTGAAAAATGTGAGGTTACAAACTCACAAAAGAACCTATGAATTGCTTTAGATGGAAGAAATTGAAAGTATAACATATTTCTTCACTAGAGTTACAAAGCTAGTGAATTAAATCAAGGTATGTAGAGAAGTGTTGACATCAAGATCAATTGTTGCAAAAATCTTGAGGTCATTGGCTCCAAAATTCTACCATGTGGTAGTAGCCATAGAAGAGTCAAAGGACTTGTTAGCATTGACGAAGGAAGAGCTTTAAGAGAAGCTTGAGTCTCATGAAAAAAGGATTCCTGGAAGAGTTGCAGGAAAGTCGAAGAGTGGTATGGATTTGCAGTCACAGTCAGAAAAAGAAAAGAAAGGAAAAAGAAGCTTGAATGGAAACAAAGATAGAGGAGGCTAGAACAATTCGACTGGTCGAAATCAGCAGGAAGGTGGTCGAATAAGAGAAAACCCTGGAACCAAGGAAACAAAAGAGGTGGTGCTGCAGGTAGAGGAAGAGGTGGTGGTCGAAAGCCCGACAAAAGTCACTTTCAGTGTTTCAATTGTCCAAAATATGGTCACTATTTTAGTGAGTTTCGAGAAAAGAAGAAGAATCAAGAAACTGATGCAAAGCTGGAGAAACATGAATAAGAAGAAGATATGTTGTTGATGCTTACAACAAGAGATGACGAAAGATTTTAGGATCAGTGGTACTTGGACTCAGGATGCTCATTACACATGACTGGTAGGAAAGATTGGTTCGTCAACATGAAGCTCTCAATGAAGAACCTGGTGAAATTTGCAAATGACAATACTCTAGCAGCTAAAAGTATTGGTGATGTTATGATTATGAGGAAAGATGGCAAGAGGTCAGTAATTTCCAATGTGTTGTACATACCAGGCATGAATAGTAATTTGCTCAGCATAGGGCAGTTGATCGAAAAGAACGACAATATGTCGATCGAAGAAAAGATGATGAGAGTTCTTGACTCAGGTGGTAGGCTAATCTTGAAGGCTCCAATCTCTCAGAATAGAACCTTCAAAGGTTAAACTTAATGTGATGGAGTATAAGTGCCTTGCAACT